ACAACTGTCCTCACATTTTACGTTTTTTGCCCTATCTTGTCACCATGGTGAAGAGAAGCAGTTGTGAAATGAGTGACGTGGTTGTTAAGAATGCTGCACGGGCATAAATGTGAGGATGTCATAAGTGTGAGGACCAGTCAAAAGTGCGAGGACCTGTCAGAAATGACTTTTTTCAGCCCTCTGAGTAGTCCCTATACACATAGCCATGGCCACTCGGTCACATGACCTCCAAGCCACGCCCACAAAATAAGCCATGCCCACAGAACCGGTAGTAAAAAATTTTAGACCCCACCCCTGATCCGGTCATCAATTTGTTCATTTTTTTGTCATCTTTAACAAAATTTTATATATTCTATTTTGCCATAACACTTATTTCTTAATCTTAAATCACATATTTCAACTAATACCGTCTTAGAAAAAGTTTACTCATATTTACTTAATCAATATAATTACCCTTCTATTAACCCACCTTAAATCGTAATTCAATTAATACCTCATTTAATTAATACCTCAAGGATTTCACAATTCTTACCCTAAATCCTCACTGTTAACAATACAGTTCAAACATATTTATATTTCAAAATTATTTCCATTTCTAAAACTTCCTTACATTCCTTATTACTTCACGTAATGCTCATTAAATCTTTATTCCATTATTACTTTATCAAATTTAAATCTTATCTCTAATCTTAAAAATATAGCAATTTAACATTTAAACAGTTTTTAATTCAAATAATGCTATTTAATACAATTTCCCAATTATTTCCCTAAATTCTATTTATTTAACCATACCATTTATATAAACACCAATTAAGTAATTTTTGTTTGTAAATCATAATTATATTGTTTCAATTTTCTTTTCTTTTTTGCTTGTGAAAAATGTTCAAATTATTACCATTGTTATATGTATTTAAGCAATATCCAAATTATTATAGCTATCAATTTTCTCAGATGATACCATCCAGCATCTTAATAAAAATTGATTCATTATGTCCATTAATATATTTTATTTTTACATAATTTAATTTAACTTTTTCTTTTATCATTCCACTGTTAATCCCAGTGTAATCATCTTTATTCCACTGTTAATCCCAGTGTAATCATCTTTATTTTTTCCCTATTAGCCCCAGTGTAATCATTTTTATTTTTTTCACTGTTAATCACAGTGTAATCTCTATAAATATTTAAACAGTATCCCAATTATTATAGCTATCAATTTCCTCAAATAATATCACCCAACATCTTAATAAAAATTGCTTCATCATATCCATTAATATGTTTTCTTTTAACATAGTCTATTTCTCATATGTTTTAACTTCAATCCATATTTCATTTCTAAGTATCTGTAACATATTTCTTCTCACATTTATTAATCTCAATATAGTTTTATAATCTAAGTCCTGGACTTTTTTATTTTCCTTAATATTTTCCAACCTTTTATTCTTTTACCATTCACTGTTAATCCCAATATAATCATCATTATATTATTGTTAATCTCAATATAATCATCATTATGTTATTGTTAATCTCAATATAATCTCTAGAGACCTCCTTTTTATTATTACTATTCACATGTTCAGTTATTTATTCATATTTAATTACAATGTCTTTATCTTCTTTATTTTCCACTTCTATGTCTTATTTCTCCATTTTCATTTTCTTGTCCACACGTGTATACTCCATTCTCTTTGTTTTTCTTGAAATTTAAAAATAGAAAAGAAAAAAAGGATCTCTTTATTTCTTTCCAATCCTTTGACCATTCTCTAATTGTTTAAGGTTTCCAAATAGTTTGTTTAAAAATCAATTTTCTATTGGTTATTTGTCTCTTTAAAGTTACGTTTCAAAATCTTCTTTGCCCCCACGCTCCTTAGCCACTATTTCTCATTAGGGTTCTTATAATTAAAAGATGATTCCCTTGTTGTTATTTCACACCTGGGTTGGCTGTCACTCACCCAGTTTCAAAAAACTCTGTTCTGTTCCTCTCCTCTCTCCAGCTCTATACTTAGTCCGGTTGTCCCAGCTTCATGGCAGCCACCATGGCTGCCATCCCCCGCCGCCAAGTCACAGAGAGTTCCCTCTGACTTTCGAGGAACTTGCCTGTTCCTCTTGGTTGTCCGAGGTGCCTCTCTTTCTTCCCCGTCCTTGCAGGATGGTTCTGGTCCGCAGACCCATCAGCAGCGGTTCATCAGCCGGGGTTTTTACGGAGCTCATCGGAGCCCGCTAATTCCCCAACTGTCTCGCCGTGATGCCAAACCGGAAGTCTCCTTTGTAGGCTAATTCTGTGAAAGGAAGGTCAGTCCAATTGTCTTGCTGGTAGTTAATGTAGCATCTCAGATATTATTCTAAAACCCCATTCATGCATTCACACACCCCATTCATCTGGGATAATGGGAGGAGTTAAGTCGATGGGTGGTGCCAAGCAATTTTAAGAACTCCTGCCAAAATTACAAAGTGAATTGAATCCCGTGATCCAAACTGATTTGCTCTGGGGATCCATGGAGTCTATAGACATGTTGTATGAAAAGCTTGGTAAGGTGTGTGCTGAGGGGATTTTGGAGTGATATAATTGTAAGTAATTATAATTAACAAAATTAATTATAATTACTTATTGCAAATTAGATTAGAAGATGAAGAAGTAAAAGAAACAATGATAACATGGGCAAAAAACTTTGGTTATATAATAGAATTAGAGAGATGGCAACAACTATGGGAAAGGTATTATAAATTAACAATGGCAACTGCATATAAAGAAAAACTATATAAAATGTTTTATAGATGGCATATATCACCAGAAAGGTTAGCAAAAATGTTTAAGGATAAATCAGCTAAATGTTGGAAATGTTTGCACTTGCTGGGATCATATTATCATATGTGGTGGTCATCTACAGAAGCTTTGTTACACCAGCGTATAGAATTAAAACCAGAGACTTTTTAATTGGATATTTTACTGGAGAGATATACTGTAGTAAAGAAGATACATATTTAATTATACACATAATAACAGCAGCAAGAATTGTATTTGCACAAAATTGGAAGGTAGAAAAAATCCCGTCAGAAGGTGAATTAATAAAGAAGATTTTAGATTGTGCAGAAATGAATAGATTAACATTAAAAATAAAAGATAGAGGAATCGGTGTATTTCAAGACATGGGGACCATTTTATGCATCGTTAGAAAGAAATATAAATAAAAGATAATAGATTAATAAATTAGACAATGTAAAGGTAAATGAGAGAAGACAAAAAAGGAATAGAAACTCAGATGACACCTGTAAATGTAAAAGGGGGATGGTGGGGGGAAAAGAGAAAAAATGTTACTATATAAATGTACAACCACGATGATATATGTATAAATGGTAAAATGGAAAAGAAATTGAAAATAAAGTGTATATTAATAGAAAATCAGGGCTGCTTGGACACCAATAGGGAAAATATTTGGATTGAAAATAAATACAACAATAGAGAGAGGATGGAAAGAGGAGTAGAGGGTAAGAGGAGGGGAGGAGAGAGAGGAACAGAAGAAAGGGAAAAGGAGAGGAAGAAAGGGAGGGGAAAAAAGAGTAGGAGAGAAGGTTAGAAAGGGGGGAAGAAGAGAGGAGTGGGGGAAAGGAAGGGTAAGGAGAGAAGAGGAAGGAGAGGAGGAAAGAAGAAAGTAGTAAAGGATAGAAGAAGGGAGGGAAGGGAAAGAGAGAAGAAGGAGAAGGATTGTTGTAAAATAAGGGAGAAGAAAAGATAGAAGAGCAATCCCAAATAGAATTAAAAATCTTTTTTTCTTTAGAAAATATATGTATATGTATGATTAACTATGGATAAGAGAATGTACATTTATAATATGCTTTTAAGAAATAAAATAAAAAAACTTTTCTCAAAAAAACCCCCAAAATTACAAAGTGAATTTAATTCTGTGATCCAACTGATTTGCTCTGCGGATCCATGGAGTCTATAGACATGTTGTACAAAAAGCTTGGTAAGGCGTGTGCTGAGGGGATTTTGGAGTGAGGGACAAAGTATACTTGTTTGGAGAAAAGGACAGTTACCATCCAAATTACGGTGTTCCCTGAGCTTTCTGGTAGTTCCATTATAAAGTCTATGTAAAATTCTTTCCAGGGTGCTTGAGGTTTTGCTACTGGCTAAAGGAGATTTGGGATTTTTCCTAGAAACCTTTTGGCTGATGAACAGATAAGGCAGGTAGCCACATAAGTTTCAATGTACTTTGGTTGAGTTTCACATTCCATTCTCACGATTCTGTCCTTGATCAGACGGTTCATTCTGGATTAACAACTCTAGTTCCTGTCACCCTGTTATTCCCTCCCTCCCTCTGCCCATTTCCTACTTCCCCATCTTCCTCTCTCATCTCCTGTGTTTTATGGCAAGATGCCAGCAAAGCGAGTTATACTAAAGATGGCAGGCCTGACAGTTAGAAACACAGTTGTTAAGTGAATCTGGCTTCCCCATTGACTTTAATTGTTGAAAGATCACAAAAGAGGATCACATAACCCCAGGACACTACAACTGTCATAAATACATGCCAGTTGCCAAATGTGAAAAGAAGGACTAGGGGGAGATACGATAGCAATGTTCCAAATATCTAAGATGTTGCCACAAAGAAGAGGGAGTCAACCTAATTCTTCAAAGCACCTGAAGGCAAGACAAGAAGCAATGGGTGGAAACTAATCAAGGAGAGAAACAACTTAGAACTAAAGAAAAAATTATTGACAGAACAATTAATCAGTGGAATGACTTGCCTCCAGAAGTTATGGGTGCTCCAAAACTAGAAGTTTTTAAGAAGAGATTGGATAACCATTTGTCTGAAATGATATAGGGTTTCCTGCCTGAGCAGGGGGTTGAACTAGAAGACTTCCAAGGTCCCTTCAAACTCTGTTATTTTGTTCTGTTACAGATATATTTAACTGGTTCTGTTAATATGTAATTTTTCAAAGTGGCTTATCTGAAGAAGAATGGATAATTATTCTTTTGTTATTAATCTGATCTCTTTTTTCAGGTGAATACACAGTGATGACAGCTCATTTTCATTTGAAGAGGAAAATTGGTTATTTTGTGATTCAGACCTATCTTCCCTGCATCATGACAGTCATTCTGTCTCAGGTGTCATTCTGGTTGAACAGAGAATCTGTTCCTGCAAGGACAGTTTTTGGTATGTAGTCAGTAATAACTTATTATTTCATATGCTAGCATAGAAGGATGTATAATCCTTTCCCCCTGTTTTTCTTTTAATAATCTTTTGTATATGATTGAAATTCATGAACATATTCATTTCTATCTAATGCTATTTTAGGTTCAGTCTACTCTACAATTTCCCAGGAAGTTGGAAAGAGAATTAAAATGTGAAAGGGGTCATATGTAACCCCCCCCCCTTTTTTTTTTGGCCAAGATGAGAGGAATATATGTATTTGTATAGTTGCCCTTCTCAAATCAGTTACTTTGGGCAGCAAACATTCATAAACAATTAAAAACATTAAAAACATTGTACAAAAATAAATTAAATACAAATAACAGCCAAGTGATATTACACTCCATTGGTGTCAATGGTTTGTAAAAAATGTGTCTTTAACATATTCAGAAGTCCAGCCCTGGAGGCTTGGAAACGCCAGCAGGTTTAAGGCCATCCTACTCCCTAAAGTGAGATTGTTCTGGTAAGCAGGCACTGTAGAGTACAAATAAAATGGCAGACAAAAACCCAATGTACATTTTATACAATGAGCTTAAAACTATCAGGACAGGAGTCTCGCATAATTTCATAGCTCTCAACCTTCTCATCTTCCACAAAGTAAACTGTATCCATCTGCTGGAACCTAGTGATTGTGATTTTTTAAAGTAGTATGGGTGTTTTTTTAGGGTGCTGAGTTGTTTTTTATACATTGGCTTTTATTGTTGTTGTTTTTTTTCTCAGCACTGCCACCCGAATTAACAGAACATAAGATGGGCAACTATATAAGTCTTATTTGTGAATCAATAAATAAAATAGTTTGTCAGGGTTCTGAGTAACAGCCTCAATGAAAGAAAACTCTGACGCTTGAGTTTCCTGAAACTTACATTTTATTAGAGATATCATATTAGGACATCTGGGAAAACCCAAATCTGAAAGTTTCCAGGTTTTCCCCACCCAAAAAAAGTTCAAGTCCCTGCCCAACACCCACAAGTCCATCACATGGTCCAATCAAACATCGTCTCAACTGGGGATGCCTCCCAGTTCCAGCCTTCCAGGTGCAGGACAAGTTGTCCTTGACTTCTTGAGAAAGGAATGTTATTATGACTATATATCACCCATGCTCCAAACAATCCTCCCTCCCAGTTTCCCACAGTAGTAAATGTGGGAGGTCTGAAGGCCCAATACAAAAGATGGCTGACAGGCCACCGCCCCTGGTCAGAAAAGCATGTCCTTGAGAGTAGCAAAGTGGTTAATCATTCAGTATACTAACCACCTCTCCCTCCCCCCAGGGGGACCCTTTGGTTTATCAGTGAACTTATCATGGATTTGCTTTATTAGCCTGTCTGCTTTGACATTCCAACTTTTAACCCATGTAGCCTCAGACAAAGGGTACCCTTTCCAATGTACTAAGTATTGAAATCTACTTCTATACAATCTAGAGTCTAAGATCCTTTTTACTTCATAGTGGGTTTCTCCTTGCACCACAATAGGCTTGGGGGGTGCTTGAGCTTGTGTGGGAGATTGAATGGGTGGGAGATTCAGCTGAACTGTCACTGGGTTTATTACTTTGACTATTGGGAATGGACCTAAGAACTTAGGTTCTAACTTCTTTCTAGGCAGCCTAAGTTTTATGTATTTGGTCTCTAGATAGACCCGATCTCCCACACCAAAAGGGGGTTGAAGAGATTGATGTTTATCTGCTTGTCTTTTGTATGCTTCAGCAGCCTTCTTGGTATTCTCCCAGCCTTTTCTCAACCATCCACTCGTTCAGGGTCATAGGAGGAGGGAGGCTTCCTGGGCAATTCAGGCATGGGCACAAAGTCCATTCCTCTGGTGACCTGGAAGGGGGTCAGTTTGGTGCTACTGTGCACAGCATTGTTGTAAGCCACCTCCACAAAAGGCAGTAGGTCCATCCAGTTCTCTTGCTGGTAATCCACATAGCATCTGATATATTTTTCCACCATTGTGTTCACTCATTCCACTGCTCCATTCATATTCGGATGAAAAGCCGAACTAAGTCCTTGCGTGGATCCAACCGATTTCAGGAACTTTTTCCAAAACTTTGCTGTAAATTGGACCCCTCGATCTGAGATGATTCAGCATGGTATTCCATGTAGTCAGTAGATTTGTTTGCTGAATATCTTTGCCAGTTTTTTAGCGGATGGTAATCCCAAGCAAGCTGTGAAGTGGACTTGTTTTGAAAACAAATTGATTACTGTCCAAATGACCGTATTTCCCCCACTTTCTGGAAGTTTAACTATAAAATCCATCGCAATTTCTTCCCAAGGTCTGCTGAGGCTTGCTGGAGGAGCCCAGGAGGTTTCCCTGGTCTCATTTTCCTGGCTGCAAAAGAGGTACAGCTTTTTACATAGTCCTCTACATCAGCGTTTATTTTTGGCCACCAAAATTGCCTCCTGGCCAAATGTAGGGTTTTTAAGAATCTAAAATGGCCAGCCAACCTGGAGTCATGGCTGTGTTGTAATACTTCCAACCTCAAAGTTGCGGGGACATATAATTTTGGACCCTTCTAAGCCAGTTCATCCCTTATTGTCAAGATGTCCCTATTATCTATGAACCACTGGTCGGCTGGGAATGCTGCCTTCAGTGCTGCCATCAGTTTGTCCCAGCTCGGGTTGTCTTTTGGCTTGGCCCCTGGTGGTGACTTGTGCGGTTGATTGTGAGGGGGAAATTATTTCTTCCCTGTGGCTATCAAATTGGGGTTTTCTCGATAGGGCATCGGCTAATATTTATTATTATTTATTTATTGGTTCGATTTATATGCCACCCTTTTCCAGAGACTCAGGGCGGCTTACAATGCGTTAAGCAATAGCCTTCATACTTTTGTATATACCTGCTTAGTAGAGCTTCCCCCCCCCCAAGTGGTGTTCTTTTTTATACAAAGTCAGCTTATTGCCCCGCAAACCGGGTCCTCATTTTTCTTACCTCGAAAGGATGGAAGGCTGAGTCAACCTTGAGCCTGGTGAAATTTGAACTTGCAGTAATTGCAGGCAGCTGGTGTTACTTAACAGTGCTTTAGTCTGCTGCGCCACCAAGGCTCTTGTAGATTGTTTCCTGCTGGGATGTACTTCAGTTCAAATTTGAACCACCAGAAGTACTGTGCCCAGCAAACTTGTTTGGAAGATAATTTCCTAGGGGTCTTTAGAGCTTTGAGTTTTTTGTGATCAGTCCAGACCTCAAAGGGCACTTTACCCCCCTCTAGGAAGTGTCTCCAGGAGAGGAGAGCCCAGCAGAATGTGTAGGCTTCTTTCTCCCAGATGGCCCACCTCTTCTTGGTGTCGATTAGTTTCTTACACACATAGACACAGGGTAGGAGCTGTCCTTGTGAGTCTTTTTGCAGGAGCACTGCTTCCATAGCCATGTCACTGGCATCTGCTTGGATTATGAATTGCTGTTCTGGGTCCAGGTGCTGGAGGATCAGTTCTTCGGTGAAGAGCTTTTTAATTTCTCAAAGGTTTTTTGACAGTTCATTGACCAAGCAAGCAGTTGGCTTGGTCGTGTCTTCACAGGGGTTGGCTTTATTCTTAACAGTTCTGTTAGGGGCAATGCAACCTCTGCAAATGCTGTTATAAACTGTCTATAAAAGTTTGCGAACCCCAGAAGCTTTGGAGCTGTTTGCAGGTACGTGGGGTTGCCAGTCAAGCACCGCTTTTACTATTCCTGGGTCCACTTGATATGCAGTAGCCTAGGTAGTCAAGGGAGTTTTGGTGGAATTCACATTTTGACAGCTTTGCATAGAGATTAACAGCCAGGAGTTTTTTTCAGCACCTTACGTGTTCTTCAGGAGTCTCGCTGAATATAAAAATGTCATCTAGGTAAACTAGGGCTCCTTTGTATAAGTGTTAATGTAGCACTTCATTGATTAATTGCATGAAGACTGCTGGGGCACTTTGCAGACTGATTTTGAATTGCATGATTTTGAATTGGAAGTTGCCAATGGGACATTTAAAGGCTGTTTTCCATTCATCTCCCTCTTTGATTCTGATACGGTAATAGGCCTCCCTCAAGTCCAGTTTGGTGAACATCTTCCCCTTGGCTAGATGACTTAGCATGCCCTTCATGAGTGGAAGGGGGTGTTTTCTATACACATGGCATTAATTTCATGAAAATCCATGCAATGTCTCATCCCCCCATCTTTTTTTTTTTTTTTTTTTTTTGTTAAACAGTACTGGAGCAGCCACCCTGGACTTTGTGGGTTGGATAAAGCCCCACACTAAGTTGTCATCAATGTACTTTCTTAGCTCTTCCATTTCCTTGGGAATCATGGAGTACATCTTTGGTTTGGGCAGCCTGGCTCCTGACACGAATTCAATTGCACAATTGGTCAGGTTGTGGGGGGGGAGGAAGTTGCAATCCTCTTCACTAAAGATGCCCGATAGGTCTTGGTATTCCCTTGGCACTTGTGGGCAGCCAAGCGGTCAATTGGTCACAGGGGCTGTGGCCTGGCTCGCTTGTACTGGCTTACAGAGGCTTGGCCTGGTCAGGCTTTATGGGAGGCAACAGTCTGGTGCCTATATTTAACTTTCTAAATGTCAGGTGTGCTTCCTTCAAAGTCCAGGAAAGAATGACCCAAACTCCATTGTTTATAGAAAAAGATACTTTTACTAGAAGATGAAGTGAACGCAACCAAAGGAAAGCAGAATCGAAGGCAAAACGCACGAAAATTGCATATAGAAAGCATCCCCTCCCACTGTCAACCATAAATCATCCAATCCAAAGGTCTCCCAGGGGTCAGGTGGAAACACACGTCTGGCAACGTCATCAATCAGGAATGCCACGACCGTTGGCCCGACGGCAGCTTCAAAGATACAGTCCGGTGGCTTAACTATCAGTTTCATTTTCCTCCAGCACGCTTCCCCCCCCCATGCTACCCAGCTCTCCCTCTCCCATTACTATGGCAGCCAAAGCAGAAAAGGCAGAGGCTGACATTCAGTCCCTCTGCAGAAGAGATGTTAGTCCTAAATAGG